TTCATCACACTCAAAGGACAAGAATCCATAGGTTTGCTATACTCAATCAGCAAAAAAAAAAAAACATTGAAAAGAATGCTGCTTGTTCCAGCAAGCCTCTGATGGACCTGAAACTACAATTTAGGAGAGGTGGTCTGAAGAAATCAATAAGTACCACAAGCTCCTTGGTTATAGCAAACTTCCCCTGAGGCCCTAGATAAAATACAGTGATAACCAAAGTACAAAAACTTTGGTAATATAGAATGTTGGGTTTCAACCTGGAATTAAATGTCCCATTCTTCTAACCCCAATCTTCCCTCCATTTCAGCAGAAAGGGTCCATCATCCCAATTCCCTCAAGAATGAGGAATGACCAAAAGACAGTGGAGATTAGAACTAGTAAACAAAGAGTTAATGGGACAAATCTCAGGTGCTATTTTTAACCAGATCTTTTTCATCTGCCTTTAAATTTCCCTTACTCTACGTCCTAGAAGGGCAGACTTGAGGCTTGCCCTCCTGTCTCCTCATTGGTTGCCTCTAGAATAAACCTTTCCCTTGATGCATACTCCATGTTTCAGCGATGGTCTTTGCCATGGCATCAGGCAGAGGGACTTGAGTTTGATTACAGTCATCCCAAAGTATGCACTATTGATAAGGTATGACAAATATTAAATAACTTTACCTAGGATACAGATTATAAACAATGTTAATTTTCTGGGAAAAAGAAAAAGTGGGACCAGAAAAAAACTTTCTAGTAGAGATACACCTGAATTGATCGAGAGATGAATGAGAGGTATCTAGCCTATGCAGGAAAAAGGTATCTAGGTAGAATGCACAGTGGCAAAATAGGGCTAGAAAAGACCTAGTTCTGTGTCAGAAACTTCTAATTGTCTCCTGATACTTATTCACTCCTTTTTCTATGAAATATAAATACTCACTGGTTAACTAAGCATATGGCCACCTAAAATAAAAATAACATTTTGTAGCACCTTATCAAATACTTGTTGCCATTAACTAAGTTTGGTCAGTGGTATAACAAAAGTGAGATATGCAACTTTTTAAAAGATGATTTACTTAATTTTATATACTTCTGAGTGTAGTTTATATACATTGCTACATTAGTTTTCAGCATAAAAGGTAATTATTTAATTTCTCTATGTCATTTAATGCTCACCACAAGTACAGCTATTGTCATCTTACAATGCAATTACAGTATCATTGACTAGATATCCTATGCTGTACCTTTATTCTCATGACTTATTCCATAATTGGAAGCCTGCGTCTCCCCTTCCCCTTCACAAATTTTGCCTCCACCCCCTTTCCTTCTGGCAACCCTTAGTTTGTTCTCTGTATTTATAGGTTTGATTTCTGCTTTTTGTTTATTAATTTGTGGAATCTTAAAAAAAAAAAAGAAAGAAAAATATTCTTAAAGGGAGAGGGTGCACTCCTTCCACTTTTCCTTTGTCCTGTTGTCTGAACTGTAGTGGTGACAGGTAGGGCTACCTTCAGCCTTCAGGACAAGAGTGTTTGAGGAGAATTCTAGAATGGAATTTTAGCATTTATGTACATTTTCCAAGTAAGAAGTGCTGCCAACATTTTCCACACTGCCTGCAAGGATATTTGTAAACCAAACAGCTAGGAAGATAGAGACTGTGTCTTTCTTTGGGGCAGAGAACAGATTTGTCCCTTGACCAGAATAATAAAGATAACATCTCCCTTCAGAGCAAAACTTGGGCAGCTTTGTTGACAGGTTTCTTTAAAGAATTAGCATTTTTTCAACTCAGTGTTCCTCAGATGTGAGAAAGGCCAAGGCCCACTGCACGTGCAATATTTACGTGAGCCTTTATTGTCCTATTGAGCTTTGAGGTAGAGGGTGGACAATAAGAACCAATGTGAACTTGAAGATCATGGTGCTTAGTTTGCTGTGAATAATAGCAATTGTTCTCTGACCTAGGGGTCTCCTGTCTTTCTCCAGCATCTACAAAACTATGATGGACTAATTTCTTAGATTTCAAGTAGTAAAAAATATTCAGATTTCTCACAATTCTTTTTTTTTTAAGATTTTATTTATTTATTTGATAGGCAGAGATTACAAGCAGGCAGAGAGGCAGGCAGAGAAAGAGAGAGGAGGAAGCAGGCTCCCCACTGAGCAGAGAGCCCGATGCAGTGCTTGATCCCAGGACCCTGGGACCATGACCCGAGCTGAAGGCAGAGGCTTTAACCCACTGAGCCACCCAGGTGCCACTATTTCTCACAATTCTTGACAAAGGGTCATATTTCTCAGATGATATGTTTTAAAGTGAAAACAGCCTGGGTCTCATGCTAGCCCTTTTAAATACATTTGAACCCATATCCTAACTAGTACAGGATTTGTTTCCTGAAATTGCTATATTTTATTTTCTAGAATATGAAATGCGTGACACTCATTTAGATGGGCACATGGCAAGTAGGTCTCAAAACACCAAGACCAGGTCACTAAACTTGAGGTAAAATTCATCTGAGTGTTGAATAAACACACAAGTCAGGGAAAGTAGTGGGGAAGACTGATTCTTGCTCTTCTCAGCAAAATTCAGAGGAGTTCAGTTAAATCAGGGATCTTCCCGATCTCACATTATCCACAGCAAACTGAACTATGTACCTGATGATTCCTAAGAATGTTATTTCTCTGTCCTTTTCTCATCACCTCAGAATGAAATTGCAGGTCTGCAGCATGGCATCAATGCCTGTGTTCTCAGCCTAGTCTTTTCATCTACCGCTGCATCTCTCCTTTCCCCTCTTCCATAACCCCCCTTCCATCAGTATGACATACCTGCCACTCTTTATTTATCACCTGCTATGACCTTTCTTGCCTCTTGTCTTTATACATAATGTCTTCCCTGTATGTGATGCTTTCCCCCACTTCTTCATCTTACAAATTTCCACTCATCTTTCAACTTTAAAATGTCACGTTTCTTTTCTTGCTGTGAAATTGTCAGCTGCCACTTCCTATCTTGTCAGTGCATTCACATCTACCATCAGACTCTTCTCTGCTCCTCAGGTTCTCAACATCTCATTTTTCATTGTAGTGAAGCAAAGCAGGGAATCAACCTAAGTTATGATTAAACAGCTTATGAAGGGAGATCTGAGAAAATAATTGTACATGAAGTTATATGCATACATTCTAGCATTTATTCTAACTGCTTGAGAGTATATTGTTTCTATCCTTTGGTTATTTTTAGAACTTTAACTATAATTATAGTAACAGTTATTATTCATTTTTTCATTTTAATTCTTAGTCACTTAGCAAATTTATGTTTCAGAATAAGTGGATTAGAGCTAATGTTAGCTGATTCCATATTATTTGTAGAGTACACAATTTTCAGAATCTTTCAAGTATTAAGATACATCTATTAGTTTTAACAGTGGATTCATAGAGCAGTCCAAGAGGACACTACTATATTTTACAAAAATTACATTTTTATCATTTGTTTTTTGAAGCTCATTTTTGAGGAAAAATTCAATGCATTTACTTTTGTCAAGTAATTCTGCCTTAATATTAATCACTATATTAATTGCTGTAGTTGCAACTGCATTGTTCCTCTGTAGCCTATATAATACTATATAGTCTATATAGAAAGACATTAAAAGGGACATGTACCAAATGAAAGAACCCACTGATAACATAGCCTAGGCTTTCATAAGTAATTTATAAAATAAGAGCTACCATACATCAAACACGTATGTTACAAAAGGGATTGTCAAATATTATGTCATTTTTATCAAGGCATTATATAAATTTCTTTTTTGTATAATCCCTGTGTTACTGGATTTTATTAATGGAGAGTTCACACAGAAGAAAGAGACTTACTGAATAGTGGTTTGTAATAGACATAATTATATTAAAGAAGTCATTGATGTTGTAACTTGTGAACTTTACAGGAATATTTAACTTCCAAATAAAAGGCTATACTAATAGGCTCAATATTTGATTTCTAAAATGTAAGCAATATGCTTAATTATCATTAGTTTCTATGTACATTTAGCTATATATTGGTATATTAGCATTTTAAACGATTTGGGGGAAAGAAAATATGGGATATATTATTGCACAGAAATACTCCATTAGCAATGCTGGGTTCAGATAAATCAACACTGTAGTTTATAAATGTAATGTGTATACATAAAATACATAAAATACATAAAAGAGCAGCTTGACGTCAACAATTCCCTTAAAACGATAGAAGAATAAAGGAAACTTTTCTTATATATATATTATGTACCAGGAACTGTGCAAGATGCCTTGTGTGAAGATACTTACTCAATAAGTAAGATTACTGCAAAAAAAAAAAAAAACATTTAAATTTTAATAATACTTCATGATTATAGCATACTTCTTTTGAGTTAGATCTTCACAGAAATAAATGAAGCTCAGATTTCATGAAGTGTTTAGGATGACAAAAACTTCTCCGTTTCATTTCTGGGTGCTTCTGTAAGTTAAACTGTCCAATACATGTTCTTTAAAATGTTCCTCTTGATTAATTTCAACTTACTGAAGATTGAGTTCTGGTAGATAACTGTGAGTAACCAAGCAAAGAGGCATTACAACCATAAAGCACACACTTGGGCGGTCAGAAACATTTTATCACGGCAGGCTTTCAGAGAAACATAAACAGCTTTTAAAAAAAAGTCTCTAGGATTTGAAATCAGTTTAAACATCATATTTTAGTTACTAAATTATATTAGAGCATGCATTTGCAAATCTAAGACCTGCGTGGTCTTAATCTCACACCCTTGACTTTATATACTAAATAATAATATCTTCCTATGCATTTACTTCAACTTAATACTATACATTTCAGTTTCTATTTACCAATATATTAATCGTAATGTCCACTGATAAAGCAAAAATTCCACATCTAATCTTATTAACACACATGTGAGACTCATATGGTGATAGAAAATTTATTTTTAAAAGACTTCTTTTCTACATTTTTGTCATTCAAACTATAGTATTAAATCCTATTTTTCTGATTGTGTTTTTAGGTTATATTCAGTTGGAGGTCGTGATGGAAGTTCCTGTTTGAGTTCAATGGAATATTATGACCCTCATACAAATAAGTGGAACATGTGCGCTCCAATGTGTAAGCGGAGAGGGGGTGTTGGAGTGGCCACCTGCGATGGGTTTCTCTATGCGGTAGGAGGTCATGATGCTCCTGCTTCAAATCATTGTTCCCGGTTACTAGATTATGTAGAAAGGTAAGATCCAAGGTCCCAGTTATACTGAGAGAAATAATGTAAATTATACTGATGCCTAATTCAAGTGATTATAAAAACTGCATAATTTAAGAAGGGTAAATTCTGCTTTTTAAATCTCTTCTGTGTCTTTATCCCACTCCCCCGCCCTCATACACACATGCACAACACTTTCATTCTTCTTTTTTTTTTAATCTAAATTCCAGCATAATTAACATCCAATGTCATATTAGTTGCAGGTATATGATACAGTGATTCAACAATTCTGTATATTACGCAGTGCTGATCAAGATAAGTGTACTCTTAGGACACTTGTGGCTCAATCTTTTAAGCATCTGCCTTTGTCTCAGGTCATGATCCTAGGGTCCTGGGATCGAGCCCCACATCGGGCTCCCTGCTCAGCAGGGATCCTGCTTCTCCCTCTCCCTCTGCTGTTCCCCCTGCTTGTGCTATCTAGCTCACTCTCTCTCAGATAAATAATAAATAAAAATCTTTAAAAAAAAAGTATAGTCTTTTTTTTTTTCTTTTAGAGAAAGGGAGGGGAGATAGACAGAGGGAGAAAGAGACTCTTAAGCAGGCTCCACACCCAGCATGGAGCCTAACATGGAGCTCAATCTCATACCCTTGAGCTGATGACTTGAGCCAAAATTAGGAGTGGGCTGCTTAACCAACTGAGCCACCTAGGTGCCCCAGGATAAGTGTACTCTTTTTTTTTTTTTTAAAGATTTTATTTATTTATTTGTCAGAGAGAGAGAGAGAGCGAGAGTGAGCACAAGCAGATAGAGTGGCAGGCAGAGGCAGAGGGAGGAGCAGGCTCCCTGCTGAGCAAGGAGCCCGATGTGGGACTCGATCCCAGGATGCCGGGATCATGACCTGAGCCGAAGGCAGCGGCTTAACCCACTGAGCCACCTAGGCATCCCGGATAAGTGTACTCTTAATCCTCTTCACTTATTTCACCCCATTCGCCTCCCCCTGATAACCATCTATCTGTTCCCTATGGTTGAGTTTTTTTTTTTTAATTTGCCTCCTTTTTCCCCTTTGTTTTGTTTCTTAAATTCCACATATAAGTGAAATCATATGGTATCTTTCTCTGATTGGCTTATTTAGCTTAGCATTATACTGTCTATACTCTCTAGCTCCATCCATGTTGCTGCAAATGGTAAAATTTTGGTCTTTTTATGGCTGAATAATATTCCATTATATATCTATGTGTGTGTGTATGTGTGTGTGTGTATGTATAAATATATATCATATATATATCATATCATATCTATGTATCATATCTTCTATATTCATTTATCTGTTGATGGACACTTTGACTGCTTGCATAATTTAGTTATTGTAAATAATGCTATAATAAACATAGGGATGCATACATTCTTCCAAATTAGTGTTTTTGTATTCTTTGGGTAAATACCCACTAGTGTGGTTATTGGATCATATGGCAGTTCTGTTTTTCTCCACATCTTTGCCAACATTTATTGTTTCTTGTGTTTGATTTTAGCCATTCTGATAGATGATATCTCATATATGAGGTGATATCTCACTGTGGTTTTGATTTACATTTTCCCAAGGATGAGTGATGTTGAACATCTTTTCATGTCTGTTGTCCATTTGTAGGTCTTTTTTGGAGAAATGTCTGTTCATGTCTTCTTACCACTTTTTAATTGGAATTTTTTTTTTTTTTTGGTGTTGAGTATTATAAGGTCTTTTTTTTTTATTAAATTTTATTTTTTTTATAAACATATATTTTTATCCCCAGGGGTACAGGTCTGTGAATCGCCAGGTTTACACACTTCACAGCACTCATCATAGCACATACCCTCCCCAATGTCCATAATCCCACCCCCCCAACCCCCGTCCCCCCATTAACCTTCAGTTTGTTTTGTGAGATTAAGAGTCACTTATGGTTTGTCTCCCTCCCAATCCCATCTTCTTTCATTTACTCTTCTCCTACCCCCTTAACCCCCCATGTTGCATCTCCTCTCCCTCATATCAGGGAGATCATATGATAGTTGTCTCTCTCCGATTGACTTATTTCGCTAAGCATGATACCCTCTACTTCCATCCACGTCGTCGCAAATGGCAAGATTTCATTTCTTTTGATGGCTGCATAGTATTCCATTGTGTATATATACCACATCTTCTTTATCCATTCGTCTGTTGATGGACATCTAGGTTCTTTCCATAGTTTGGCTATTGTAGACATTGCTGCTATAAACATTCGGGTGCACGTGACCCTTCGGATCACTACGTATGTATCTTTAGGGTAAATACCCAGGAGTGCAATTGCTGGGTCATAGGGTAGTTCTATTTTCAACATTTTGAGGAACCTCCATGCTGTTTTCCAGAGTGGTTGCACCAGCTTGCATTCCCACCAACAGTGTAGGAGGGTTCCCCTTTCTCCGCATCCTCGCCAGCATCTGTCATTTCCTGACTTGTTCATTTTAGCCATTCTGACTGGTGTGAGGTGGTATCTCATTGTGGTTTTGATTTGTATTTCCCTGATGCCGAGTGATATGGAGCACTTTTTCATGTGTCTGTTGGCCATCTGGATGTCTTCTTTGCGGAAATGTCTGTTCATGTCCTCTGCCCATTTCTTGATTGGATTCTTTGTTCTTTGGGTGTTGAGTTTGCTAAGTTCTTTATAGATTTTGGACACTAACCCTTTATCCGATATGTCATTTGCAGATATCTTCTCCCATTCTGTCAGTTGTCTTTTGGTTTTGTTAACTGTTTCCTTTGCTGTGCAAAAGCTTTTGATCTTGATAAAATCCCAATAGTTCATTTTTGCCCTTGCTTCCCTTGCCTTTGGCGATGTTCCTAGGAAGATGTTGCTGCGGCTGAGGTCGAAGAGGTTGCTGCCTGTGTTCTCCTCAAGGATTTTGATGGATTCCTTTCTCACATTGAGATCCTTCATCCATTTTGAGTCTATTTTCATGTGTGGTGTAAGGAAATGGTCCAATTTCATTTTTCTGCATGTGGCTGTCCAATTTTCCCAACACCATTTGTTGAAGAGGCTGTCTTTCTTCCATTGGATATTCTTTCCTGCTTTGTCGAAGATTAGTTGACCATAGAGTTGAGGGTCTATTTCTGGGCTCTCTATTCTGTTCCATTGATCTATGTGTCTGTTTTTGTGCCAGTACCATGCTGTCTTGATGATGACAGCTTTGTAATAGAGCTTGAAGTCCGGAATTGTGATGCCACCAACGTTAGCTTTCTTTTTCAATATTCCTTTGGCTATTTGAGGTCTTTTCTGGTTCCATATAAATTTTAGGATTATTTGTTCCATTTCTTTGAAAAAAATGGATGGTACTTTGATAGGAATTGCATTAAATGTGTAGATTGCTTTAGGTAGCATAGACATTTTCACAATATTTATTCTTCCAATCCAGGAGCATGGAACATTTTTCCATTTCTTTGTGTCTTCCTCAATTTCTTTCATGAGTACTTTATAGTTTTCTGTGTATAGATTCTTAATCTCTTTGGTTAGGTTTATTCCTAGGTATCTTATAGTTTTGGGTGCAATTGTAAATGGGATGGACTCCTTAATTTCTCTTTCTTCTGTCTTGTTGTTGGTGTAGAGAAATGCAACGGATTTCTGTGCATTGATTTTATATCCTGACACTTTACTGAATTCCTGTACAAGTTCTAGCAGTTTTGGAGTGGAGTCTTTTGGGTTTTCCACATATAGCATCATATCATCTGTGAAGAGTGATAGTTTGACTTCTTCTTTGCCAATTTGGATGCCTTTAATTTCCTTTTGTTGTCTGATTGCTGAGGCTAGGACTTCTAGTACTATGTTGAATAGCAGTGGTGATAACGGACATCCCTGCCGTGTTCCTGACCTTAGCGGAAAAGCTTTCAGTTTTTCTCCATTGGGAATGATATTTGCGGTGGGTTTTTCATAGATGGCTTTGATAATATTGAGGTATGTGCCCTCTATCCCTACACTTTGAAGAGTTTTGATCAGGAAGGGATGCTGTACTTTGTCAAATGCTTTTTCAGCATCTATGGAGAGTATCATATGGTTCTTGTTCTTTCTTTTATTAATGTGTTGTATCACATTGATTGATTTGCAGATGTTGAACCAACCTTGCAGCCCTGGAATAAATCCCACTTGGTCGTGGTGAATAATCCTTTTCATGTACTGTTGAATCCTATTGGCTAGTATTTTGGCGAGAATTTTTGCATCTGTGTTCATCAAGGATATTGGTCTGTAGTTCTCTTTTTTGATGGGATCCTTGTCTGGTTTTGGGATCAAGGTGATGCTGGCCTCATAAAATGAGTTTGGAAGTTTTCCTTCCATTTCTATTTTTTGGAACAGTTTCAGGAGAATAGGAATTAGTTCTTCTTTAAATGTTTGGTAGAATTCCCCCGGGAAGCCGTCTGGCCCTGGGCTTTTGTTTGTTTGGAGATTTTTGATGACTGTTTCAATCTCCTTACTGGTTATGGGTCTGTTCAGGCCTTCGATTTCTTCCTGGTTCAGTTGTGGTAGTTTATGTCTCTAGGAATGCATCCATTTCTTCCAGATTGTCAAATTTGTTGGCGTAGAGTTGCTCATAGTATGTTCTTATAATTGTCTGTATTTCTTTGGTGTTCGTTGTGATCTCTCCTCTTTCATTCATGATTTTATTTATTTGGATCCTTTCTCTTTTCTTTTTGATAAGTCTGGCCAGGGGTTTATCGATCTTATTAATTCTTTCAAAGAACCAGCTCCTAGTTTCGTTGATTTGTTCTATTGTTTTTTTGGTTTCTATTTCATTGATTTCTCCTCTGATCTTTATGATTTCTCTTCTCCTGCTGGGTTTAGGGTTTCTTTCTTGTTCTTTCTCTAGCTCTTTTAGGTGTAGGGTTAGGTTGTGTACCTGAGACCTTTCTTGTTTCTTGAGGAAGGCTTGTACCGCTATATATTTTCCTCTCAGGACTGCCTTTGTTGTGTCCCACAGATTTTGAACCATTGTGTTTTCATTATCATTTGTTTCCATGAATTTTTTTCAACT